AATATGAAGGTATTAAAAGTGGATATCCATCAGAATGAGGAAAAGTAAAAAGGATTATGTGTGATATATAGTAAAAGGATTATGTGTGATTATGTGTGATATAGTAAAAAGGATTATATGTGATATCTCAACTTGCCACAGTGGATGTATTCATTATGTATCATAAACATGTACTAAAAAAAATTAAAAAAAGAACAATGGGGTGATGACTCTGTCCATGCATACTGGCAGGAAACAGATGAATATAAAATACTGAGAAATGTTTGTGCAGGTGCCGAGGGCTAAGCCACCACTTTACTAAAGACAAATTGGTCATCGAGATCAGGTATATGCTACAGAGTGACAGGATGGCTAGTGTTTTGTAGGCAAATGCAAGAAGAACACCCAATGTAGAGGACTTTAAAGTTACAGTCCAACTGGCTGCTCAGACAGATAGGCACATTTAAACATGCGCTGGCCAGTATAACTCAAGTTCAATTATTTCAGATTTTCCTTTTGCTGGGACTGAATTTAGACAACTTTATAAAAGAGAGCACTGGTTTTTTACATAAAAAATTAATTAAGAAGGATAATCAGAAAGATTTTTAAAAGTATGGATTATTCTTTTAACAGGTAGGCCAGGCATGCCTTACACTCTTCATATCAAGGTATTATTATATCTAATATTAATACTGCCTCCAAAGTTACTTTTGAACAACTTTTCTTATACATCTTTTTCTGACTTGTTATTTTCAACCTTTTAGGTAAATATTTAGCTGGATTTTATCTTTGTAATCTAGTTCAAGGGCATGGCAGCTGTTCTTGCCCACACACATTAATTTTTTGACTCTTCTAGATTAATAAATTTGTAACAGGGATGTTGCTACTAGCCAGGGACTATGTTTTTCAGCTTCCCTTGCAAACAGTCTAATTTTTATTATTATTATTATTATTATTATTAATTTATTTTTTTCTGGTACCGGGAATCGAACTCACGACGTCATGCTTGCCAGTCAGGTACTGTGCCACTGAGCTAAATCCCCAGCCCAACAAGCAGTCTAATTCTTGACAATGGAATGTGGGTAAAGGGGATAGGTGGTTTAAGTTATAAAATCTTGCTTGTATGGTCTCATACTGTCCTCCTGTGAATCAAAACTTAGACATGACTTATCCTAGCTTAATCTATGCAGATGAACACAATACTGTAAAGAAGGTGGAGAAATAATATGGAAAGAACTTGGATCTCTGCATGACTGCATAAAACTGAGTTGCCCATTGATATGGAGTGTTCACTCCTATTATATTATGTTGTTTAAACCACAAGAGATAATGATGATGGTTTTTAGGTACAGTAGCCTACCTAGTCTTGTCCTACTGTGGTTCCTAAGAAATCTCTCTGTCCTACATGTAGTTCTTAAAAATCTATTTTATTTTGCTTTCTATTGATTTGTGTCTATTAGATCAGGAGCATCTTAAAGAAAGAGGACAGAACTTCTACACTTGTACATACCACATTCCTTTGTTGAGCAGGAATTTTTTATCTCTAATGGGTGCCACAAAATATGCTAATTGGTGCATGCAACGTGGAGAAGAGTTTTCCACTTCTTCATGTTATGGTGTGTGGGATATTAAGCAAACATAGAATGATGTGTAATTACCAACTATGGTAAAGGAAAGTATAGCATTCTTTGAAACAATTTATATTGGAAGAGCAGAAAGACTTCTCTGAGGGAGTAAATTTTCAGTTGAGACCTGAAGGCTTAGTAAGAGTTAGGTGAGAGTGAGAGGGCAGGGTGCTGCAGACACGGGACATGATATACTGGAATCCTCCCGTGACAGACTGTGGTGTTCTCACAGAACTGAGCGAGGGTCAGGGAGGGGGAGTGCGGCAGACAGTGGTGTGGAATGAGTCTGGAGGAGTGGTCATAGCGGGAAGATGCAGAGAGTTTGGAGGGTTTGATATTTCATTTGTGTCTTCACATCCATGAAGGATTTTGATCTAATTTGCCTTTAAAAAGATCACTCTGGTTTCTTGGTGGAGGATTGATCATAAGGGAAGGATCACATGAGGAAGGTGATCAGCAGGAACCAGAGTTGACACGGACCTGAAAGAAGGCAGGAACCATGGGGATAGCAGCAGGAGGAGAGACTCCAGAAATGGTCTGGAGGAAGATAAGCACAGACTTTGATGCTCTGTTTGGAGGGGACAGTTGTGAGAGAGGAGAAGGTGTCGGTGAATCCTTTCTAGCAGGTTTGTGTGGAGGGAAACTATCGCTTGGGTCTCTCTTTTGTGATGTCCATTGAGCAAACACATGCTACAGCTCCTTGCTTAAGCTTGGTTTGTCCCACCTGAAATATTCCAGGCTACCTTCTACCTTGGGCTGGTGAGATTTTCCTTTCTCACTTGCTAGCTGTGTGAGGAAAATGATCACGTTGCTTTGTCTCCTGCCCTACATAGCACCTAACATAGTGCTTTGCTCAAAGCAGATGTTGAAAATCATTTTAAAAATACATTTCTTTTGAGTACTTTATCAGGAATTAACATTTTTCTTCAGCTGGACAAGAAAGATTTAATTCTCCTTTAGATATGTTTTTCAGTTTTTATCCCATTTGCAATTATAGTGCATTTGGTACAGTAATGATACATTCAAGTTAATTTTTCATTTGCTCTTTGATTTCAGTCTGTAATAGAATCGAGTCATTGGACTAGCAAAAAACCCAGGGCTTTATCCAAGTCTGGTTTTCATATTTGGGAGGGTGAGCTGCGGAGCACATGGAAGCGTTTTGCACATGTGTTTTTCTCTTTTGCCTCTGTGGTAAGACACTTTCCTAGCTGTGCTTTGGATTTTTCCCATTCCACTTTTGAAATTTCCACATGGGGTTTGGCCACTTGGTGAACTGCTCTCAGATTCCCGGCTTATACCCAGGGTCAGCTTCAGCTGTGACATCTTTGATATCTTTTTGTTTTTCTGAGCCTGGCTTTACTGCTCCCCTCACGGGCTTCTTTGCCTTTATTCTTTCCCAATATTTCATGGTTGTAACATATGAGCCTTTCCTTTCAACAGCTCTCTGTCCTCAGGGAAGCGGTCCATCTTGTCTGTTGCATGGTGTTTGATTCTGGCTCTGCTGCTACCCAGCTGTGACAGTTGTGCCTGAATCTCAGGGCTCAGAGCGTGGGCTATTTTTCTGTAGTTTTGCCTTTTTCTCTGCCCTGACGTTTCAGATGTAGTTTGTAATTCAGCAAACTTTGCCTCACTCTTCTGTTTCTTAGATGCTAGTTCCAGTCTGTCTCTTTAAAATAAAGCCAATTTTGTCAATTTCTTTCCTTCTTTCTCTTCTCTATTTGGCAATGTTGAGATTGCCACTGCTCTTGACAGCTGCTATTCAATATGTCATTACTCAGCCTGGGAAGTAACTTTAGAATGTTGTGTGCCCCAACCGCAGAACACTGTGTCCCTGTGGTGTACATCTGCAGGTGGGAATGACCTGCGGAAGAGTCTGTGACATTTGTACCATGCCTTGCAGTTTACCAAGGACCCTCAGCTGTGCGATGCTGCTTAGTGCTTACAAGAAGCCTATGAAAGCACAAGATATTATACTTCCTGTTTTGAAGCCAGATCTTGAAGATCACAGTGTGTTCACAGTGCTACCTAGCTAGAAGTTGATGGAGCCAGGGTTTGAACTTATGTTTTTCTTTACAGTAGAGAATTCTATATTCTTAGTATCATTTCTGTTCCAGGCTTGGATGAACACTGTAGGTTGCAGGCACAGTCAGACCCAGGAACTCAAACACTATTAGCAGGTTGGCTTTACCTTCTCTCTTGGCTGTACCTTCCTCTGAGCTGACTTCCCATTATCCAGACTTTTTCTTCCCGTGGCTTACAGCAACTCTGTGCCGATACCTTCTGATTCAGAGGACAGGATATTGTGCCTCTTCTGGCAGAACTTGCTTCTCATTGTCTCTAATTGGGTTGTGTGCGTATCTCTGTGCCGATCATTGTGATCAGATGCTGGTGATACTCGGATGGGGAAGGCTGGCGCCCATGATGTCTCCTGAAGTCGGAGATGCAAGTGGCCAGGCTTAAACAACATGGCAAGAGGATGGGGAGAAGGGGCTCCCAGAAGAAAGTTGAGTATTGTTACCAGAATGAAAGGAGTGCCTATTGGGTAACACAGACAGGAGATGTCCTCCGTGTTGGCTGTTTCTCATTTCCCCTCAGCTTTTCTCACCATCCTTCTCCATGCCCCAGGAGTCAGTGGGTATGAATTACATAGATGGGCGCCCCTGCCCTGAGGCTTCTAATGGTATGGGGAGAGCACTGGCAGTTTAGAGTTAAGAAGAGCGAGAGGGGTACTAATTTCACCAGCTCCTTTCCCATAAGGGCAGCCTAGGCCCCTGAGGCTCCCAGTTCCTTACCGACAGCCCTTTTCCCGTGGCTCACCCTCCCCCCATGTGCTGCTAACTGCTTTGTTTTTTTCTCCTTCAAATCCGAAGTGGTAACACCCCCGGGAATTGTGCAATTTCTTTTAGTTTCCCTATACTCTGTGCACGCTTGTGCAAATGGTTTCTTTATTAAACTGAAGTTACCAAATATAAGTACATCATCTCTTTCCTGCCCAGACTTGGTCGATATATCTTCCAAAGGCAGGGCAACAAATATCACATACATGTCACAGGAAAGATGATTTGGAGCATCTGGGGGTGCTAGGCTAGGGGCAGGGATGATTTAGGAAGGATGCGATAGCTCTGATCAAGCTTGATTCAAGGAGTGACCACAGGGAAACGGGAGCAGCGTGGCTTCGTGGGGTTTTATTCAAACAAGTGGCTAGCTTTCTAACTAGCACTAGTTTACTTACAGAGCAAGCTGCCCAAAAGATAAGCAGTTCACCAGCACTGGAGATTTTTAGCTGGACATCACTGGAGACATTCAGTTGTCAGGAGTTTTGTGAAGAGGATTCCTCCACGGATAGTTGAGTCTGAATGACCTTCACGGCCTCCTCTTTTTGTTCTCTTCATGCAGGAATATATCTCACGTTCTCTGTCCTTTGGGGACTTCTCACTGCTTGGCAGATAGAGCTGCACATGTGGGAGAGGTAACATCCCTGGAGACTTGGAAAATGGAGACCAGCATCCCCACACCGACCCTCAGGGCGGCTGAGGAATTACCACATGAGAATGGATACTGAAACGGGTGATGTAATTCTGAGGTAGGATAGCCTATCCTGGAAAAGTGGATTATGGTTAATACGGAAAGAGTAGCAACACATAGACAGGTGTTGAAGAGCTATTCATTGAGAGAAACAGCATTATTTCAAAGGATCAAGATTTTCTCTGTTTTTCTCACACTGTTATGGTTTGTGTCGAGATGTCCCCTCAAAACCTCATGCGGTCATAGAGCTTATTCAGAGGTGGCTGAATCTAGAGTGTGTGACTGATTCACAGTGCAGTGCTGGGATGAAGGCTGCTGGGATTAATAGAGGGTGATTGCTGGGCCAGTGCACTGATTGGATAGGCACCACCCCAATCCCAGTAGGCTGGATACGACATAAAGGACAGAAACAGATTTGTTTCCTGTGCTCTCTCTTGTTGCTTTTGCTGTCTTCTGCCTCCTTGAACTGTTGCCACCCTGCCTTGGAGCCCGCTGATTATGGACTGAAATCTCCACAAACTGTGAGCTAAATAAATCTTTCCTTCTTTAACTTTGGGTTTTGGGTATTTTGTCTCACAAACGAGAAAAGTAACTAAGTTACTTATACAGTGGTTTAGGATTGTCCAACACAGTGCTTTTAGGATTGTCCATCGGGTCGTGAAGAATTTGCTGGCCTAATGTGGGTCTAGGGCAGGAGTTGATAGATTTTTCTACAAAGAGCCACCTCATAAATACTTTAGGTTTTGCAAACCATGTTGTACCTGCTGCAGCTACTTAGAGAATATAGCATAGATGATGTGTAAATAAATGCACATGGCTGTGGTCCAGTATAACTTTATTTATAAACACAAGAAATGGTGAGGCAATGGTATAGAAAGCTTTGAGCCCTGTTCTAGGAAGATACTTCATTACTGTAGTAGCTTGATAGAGCCTAGTGAATGTGGGTGATTCAGTGTGAATTGACAGTTTGTTCAGCAGCCGAGTCCTTGAGCACTTGTGTGATGAACCACAGACATGTATGGCCTGGAAGGAAGCCCGTGGAATTACTTAGGTGACCTCCATTCGTGTTCTGGCTGACCTACTCTACTACTGAGAGCATGCTACTGAACCTCTCTGAACCTCTGATTTTTCATGTTTGAAATGAATATAGTTTAGATGCCCTTTACCTTTGCTATTTATTTGAATAATGAAACGTATGAAACACCGACAACTTGAAGTCTGACACACCGCACTTAGTGTTCACATGTCGTTCTCTCTCCTCCCTTCCGGTAGCCGCAGGAAAAGCACAAATTGCTGAATTAAGTCCTAATGGAAGATCAATGAAACATCATTCAACCCAGGAAATATTTGAAGAAAGCTAATGCCGTGTCTTTGCAGATTCTCAGGAGCACAGAGTGATAGGGATGAGGCCCTGGCGTCAGAAGGATGACGACAGGACTTTTTTTCCTTGTGTCTTTATTTTCCTCTGTGCAGCCAGTCCTGTCCTCAGGGTAGCCACCCCCAAGGGGCTGGGCAGCTTTGAGACAGATTGCCAAGCAGGAATTCCCACGAAGGGGACTTTAAATCAGGCCCCTGAGATAACGCTTTCAGGAAGGTGGGAGCATTTAGCCCAGAAACATGATACTGTCTTTAATGTCTGAAGGGCTGGGCATATGGAAAGAGTGTACTAGATGGGGGAATCTCTGGTGGGTAGAGGAGACAGAACCAGTGCCCAAAACACATGGGCAGCCTGTGGAAGGGGTGAGTTCCTGTTGTCAGGGATATTCAAGCAGAAGGTTTCTGCCAGTTGGAGAGGGAATAAGGACAGGACTGATAAGGACAAGTCTGCTGGGCCAGGCTTTCTGACGCAGTAATCCCTTGTGAGTTTGTGAAGTTCAGGAAGGACAGGGCAGGGCAGGGAATGCTGCTGAGGATCAGTTGCCCCCCCAAAATCAATAGCAGTGTACTCCTGGGAGGAGGTCATTTTCATGATAGGAAAGCGATGGACATGCCCACTTCGGGCCAGAATAACGACAGGTAACGCTGGGTTCTTAGAACGCACCACAGCTCGGTTACATACTTCAGTGTCCTCATGTTCCCCTCACAATGGCTTGAAGAGTTAAGTGCAGTTGTTGCACGATCTTTTCATAGATGAATTAACTGAGGTCCAGGAGGGTTAAATACAGTGCTCAGACTGTAAATGATGCCACTGTCTGAACACGCACACTCAAATTCCCGAGCCCATGCTCTTCCAGGTCCATTGAAAATGAATTCATTAGGGAGAGAGGCCCTTGCGACATGACATTTTGCTATATTAGGTGCTCCTAGTGGCTAGAACATTGACCTAAGTCTACATTTAATAAGAAAACTGTGCTGCTGGAGCTAAAAGTTAAAAAATTTAATGAAGACAAGTAGTTCCTTTTAGCAAAATTACATAGTGATTTTTTTTTTTTTTGGTACGGGGAATCCAACTCAGGACCTTGCGCTCACCAGGCAGGCGCTTGTGCCGCTGAGCTATGTCGCCAGCCCTACATAGTGATATATTATGTTCTGGCATTCAGTTTGTGGTAGCCCTTTCAGAGCAGGAAGCTTTTGCTTTAGCTCTGGTTGAGACGGTCACTTTTTTATATTGTACCCTTGAACGAAGATGTCTGTAGGGTATCTACCTGCTTTCTGAGGTTGCTGCGCAAGGAGGTGGCCCCCAGGGTACTGGTGAAGAAGGACAAAGGGATTGTGTCTGCAAATTCAGAAGGAGCCCCTGGGGTTAAAAGATTATTTTGACAGCTGGCTTTAGGAAAAGGACTTGCTCAGACCTCTAGGGTGGAAGGCAAAGCCTGGGAGGGATGATCTGGAATCCAATGATTTGAATTAGGAGGTCAGATTCTTTGGCCTGATGATCAAAGCATGTGGTGACCTCAGGTGATGCTGAGTTACTCACTCAGACTCTTAAATCGCCCACCCAGGACAAAGGCAGAGTGTGCCCCTTACTTTGTTGACTTCTTAGACAAACTAGGGGACACCTGTTAGGGCCTTTTCCACTTATAGTTGCTCTAGAGATGTTAATTTTAACCTGATTTTCCTTGGCTGTGAATGCTGGCAAGCTGAGGAGGAGAGATTCTCTATGGATCTAGAAACATTTTAGTTATGTGATTCAAGAGGAAAAAAACAGAAATAAAATCACAGAGAACACAGTCGGAGTTTCTATCTCAGAAAGGGCTGTTCCCCATCGAGCGGGATGCTGCTAGCCCCAGATCTGCCGTGTGAGACTGGAGAAGCATTTAACCTCTCTGATCTGGTTCACCTTCATGCTGTGCATCCTGATGCCTCAGTATTTCTTCCTCAACACCGGGGACTCTTAAAAAAATATTGTCTTCTATTTTTAAATGCAATAATTCATCCAAGGAGCAGTATCATAACACTATCCTAGAAAAAAGTCAATCTCGTTTGTGAAAAATATTTTGCTTTTCATTTAAATTCTATGCTTCTGTGGGTTGTTTGCTCCCCCTTCTGTCCAGCTTTGGCTTACCCTGGACTTTTTCACATTTTGAAGGCCCTTCTACAAACCTGGGGACATTAAGGTTTGAAACCTATGCTATTTATTGTCATTGCTGATATTTTCTGCCTCTTTTTTTTTTATTCATAAAGCATAACATGAACCATTTCCAAGGGTACAATTCAGTATCACTTAGAATATTCACAGTGTTGCATACCCAGTATCTACTGAGCTCCAAGACATTTTCATCATCCTGAAGTAAAGCCCTATGCTCAACACCCAGTCATTCTCTCCTTTCCCTTCTCTCAGTCCCCGACAACCATTTATCTTCTGATCTGTGGTTTTTCCTTTCCTACTATTTCATGTAAATGGAATGATGGGAGCTGTGCCCTTTTGTGTCTGGGTCATTCACAATGCTTTTTATGTTCATCCATGTTGTAGAATGTATCAGTGCTTCATTCTTTTTATGGTGGAATAATATTCCATTTAACTATATGTACATACCACAATTTGTTCACCCATTCATCTGTTGATGGAAGTTTAGTTTGTTTTACCTGTGGGCTTTTGCAAATATTGCTCCTGTGAGCATTTATGTCCAAATATTCATTTGAGTACTGGTATATACCTATGACTAAAATACTTGATTATATAGGAATTCTATGTTTAACTTCCTGAGAAACTGTCAAACTGATTTCCCACAGCAGCTGCACCATGTTAAGTTCCCACCACCAAAGTATATATGTTCCAGTTTCTCCTTATCTTTGCCAACACTTGTTATTTCCAGGTAAATTCTTTGACTAAAATTGATTAGAATCCCCAAATTGATCTTATTCCCCTTCTTTATATCCTTGGTCACTAACATTCATGCTTGTCTCAACCCTGTTACTAGGGTACATCTCTGGGCTGTTGTGTGAAAGGGTCCTTTACTGACCCTTTGCTCATTCTTAGCAGATAATACATTTTTTCCCCTCCTCATTTACAAAACAAGAATATAAAAGCCAGGCATAAAGGAGGGAAATGTTTTGGTTTCATGAACACTCACTGTAAGAGACTGAGTTCTTCTTTCTGAGGCAGGTGAGATTGTTTACTACTCTTGGTCCTGTGTGGAGCTGGGTGCGTTACACACCTCCTCCTGGGCAGGTACTTCCTGAAGGCCACCCTACCTGTTCTAACCCCTTGTCTTGAGGGGAGATGTGAAGTTGTATTTTGTGCCACACTCAAAGGGTGGTCTCTGTCCTCATCTCCCTGAGACACTTCCGTTTCTGCAGAGCGCACATTTGGCTTTTGACTGTAGGGGCTGCCTCTCCAGGAAGCTACACTCAGGTGGTTCATTTGGCTGGGAGAGCAGGAATGCCAGACTTTCGGGTGGCGTAGTCAGGCAGGCAAGCAGATGGCCAAGGTCGGCAGGGGTTAGCTGTTCCCTTCTGCCATCTGCGTGATCTTTCTAATCAGTTATGTTTTCTCTTTCCTCACAAGCCGCTTCTCTTGCCAATGGGCCAACGCCAAGGTTAACAGTTTGTATGGACAGTTTGATTTTTAAAACTCTAACTTGTCATTAATGACATTTTACCCAATATCTTTTACAA